GTAGTCGAGGGAGGATAGATGTGGATGTCTATGGGCCACAGCAACTACTTAACATCAGGTGGACTATGTGCTCGTTTGTCACCCTTATCATTAAAAAACCTATGGTGTCGGAAAATAAATCTACCAAAGTAGCGGATTTAAGATAGAAATCACTCTAGGTCCTTTTCTTAGCCGTTGACATTGTAATTATTTTATGGATATTTTAATCTTTTTACATTTTAATATTAAGATTGAATTCCTTGATTATAATAAATGCTGATAATTTTCTACTTATATCATGAAATAAAGAAATAACTGCCACTGCTTATGCTCCATTACAATCGCAGGAATCATACCTACAACTCATTATTTATTTCTATTGTTATAAGGTGTATATAGGTGCAAATGTGGCATAGTCACGCCGTAACTGGCCTCATTATGATGATTGATGCGATACGTGATTTGCCTGTTTGGAGAGAAAAATATAATTTTTTGATGTTTCGCTGTTATACAATATCCTATCCTAATACTGAATAAAACTACTATTACGGACTTTTCGCCTTTAATTTAATATTTTTAACTCGAGAGAACCTTTACTACGATTGCTTTGCAGCACCTAAACAATCGGACAAGAAGTTAAAGACAAAGGGAAAATCCGTAAAAGTATTCATATAATGGTCGCATCAATATACCAAACTCATGAGGAATCCTTATAATTTTGTTCTGTCTGTCATAATTTAAAGGTCTATCGCTTCTAAAATGATTGACCGAATGAAATAAAATAATATAAAGTATATTGAAAATTATGACTACTAGCGTTTCGCTAATTTTCCATTATACAATATCGATTAAGTTTTGTAAAGTGTATCTATTACGGGTTTCTTATTTATTCATCGAATTTTTTAATGCATATTATTTTTAAATATTTATGTAGACACCTTGGTCGTACGTTACCACTGTGGCATTGCAATGATTTCTTCATTAAAGTGATCGCAATTGAAAGGGGCAATGAGCTGTATTTTTATTATTTGTAGGAATAAATTGAAAACACGTGTGATAAACTTCGTGCAATTGTCATTATTTATCGTAGAAATAGATTTCCTCCTTAAACTTTTTCTGTTTTAATATATTGTCCACTTTTGATTTCGTTAATAGTACATTTATATCGGTTTCTGCGTCATAGACTCTTTGTAATGGTTTATAAATTACGCAAATTTCATATCATTGTCTTTAAGGCTAAGATGGAATACTTCGATTCTCGTAAAACGGGTCTCCGGTTCTCTACACTCACCATACGAAACACAGCAGCATTACGCTGCTATTTATTTATTATATGCGTGGGTTAAAATTTTGATCGATTTTTGTTATTGAACTCAACACTGTTAAAAAGTTGTTAATGAAAGTCGATCAGATTCTTTGTTTTTTTTTTTAATTAATTTTTAACATAATAAGCATGTGTGCACTTTAGAATTTTCCAAATATTTTTTCAATATTAGATTTTTTAACTTAACGAGAGAATGGTAAGGATATATAAACTGAAAAGATTTAAGTTCACAAGCAGACATTTATTTATATTATTTTGAAATTATTTTTATTAAAATTGGTTTAACTGATAGACTGAGTTACTCCCCTTCATTAGCAAATACTAATTCAACAAAGCCGTGCTGTCTGCGTCGATGGAATATGTTACTGCGATACTTAGAAAAAATTGTAACGACTTAACATTCCTGTGATTGTTCTTTAATGCATCACGTCTGCTATTCAAATGCAATGCGCCTTATGTTATCGCTTCTTTGTTCGTGCATATTGTCCGCAACTATTGATACCGTGGTTGTCATTTATTACTACTTTTAAATATGGATGGAATTAGGTAATAATATACAGCATACTATGCGTAGACATACAGATTTAACACGTTCGACCAATTTTCAAGGCTGAGATACCTTTAGTATTAATTTATGTTAATATATTAAACTTACGATGAGTCGATTATTAAGTTAGTATATATTTATCTTCCATAGTTATTAGCTAATTGTTATTAGTTAATACAATCAGTATACTAATAAGTTTCAATACAATCAAATAAGGATAGAAACACTTCTGCTTAATGTTTGTAAATTAATTATCATCATCATTACAGCCCGTTGCAAGTTCACTGCCGAACAATAGGCTTCAACATAGCATAGGAATCCGAACGCCACACAACCCACGACGGTCCTGGATACTCCACATCCATCGGCTTCCTAAATCTCTTAACAGATCGTTACTCTATCTAGTATTGGGGGCGGGCGACCTACCCTTCGCTTACCGTTACGAGACTTTCCCCATCGGTTTCCGGTTTTTCGGGATTATAATATAAACAAAATTTGTAAATTAATATATTATGACGAAAAATAATTAACAATGTAAATATTTATCATGGATCAGTAAAATTTTAAGGTCGCCGTCAACATGGCCAAATATACTAGTAGTTTGGTAATACATTCGCCCACGGATCTGACAGAAGTGGTAAATTTTCCCAAAGTGAATTTCATTAATATTAAAACGGGCTGGACATCTTACGCAATGTTAAAGTAAATAATGATTTAACGATATAAATTAACGATAATTTTTTTATAGAATATGGGTGACAAACTTGCACACAGTCCACCTTATGGTTAGTGGATGCTGTGGCCCATAGACATTTACATTTATCATTTATTGAGAATGAAAATGCAGATGCGTTGTGACTCCTGAAGACTAAGATGGAAACACTTCTGCCTAATGTTTGTAAATTAGTTATCATTATAAATTAATTATCGTTTCTATTAAACGGGTCTCCGGTTCTCTACGCTCACTAGGTATACGAAACACGGCAGCATTAAGCTGCCATTTTACGCTGGCATTCTGTAAGAGCGTGGTCCTGCCGTGGTCGAAACAGTGTAGTGCAGTACAGTGCGGTTCTACCACGTATGAAACCATGATATGATTTTAATTTACTTAATACCAAAAATTGCATTATATTTTATAGAGTGCCATATTCGCAGTTTGGTTGTGAATAGACTACTATTTTTTTACAATGTATGCTTTAGCCCATATATAAGTCTATCCTTGATTATAAATCAAAATGTCGATGCATTGTCATTTGTCACCCAGGAGGACTAAGTACTAGTTACTAATTACTAGTGAAAAGGGTCTTTGATTCTCGTCAGTGAACATCAGAAATGCAGCAGCATTATGCTGCAATTATCTATTTTACGTTGGCATTCTGTGAGAGTCGTTTAGTGGTGGCGTATAAAAATCCACTACTCTATAACATAATCCCGTGGGTATCTGAGGCGACGAAGGTGAATTACAACGGGAAACGGTTAGCAGCATTTTCCTTAAAACGGCTTAAAATAATAAAAAGTAGCGGTTGCCAAGCGTGGCGACTTTGGCAAGTAACACCACTATCATGTAGAGGCTTATATTCACCAATAGACATTAAGCTGTAATGAATAAATTATGAATTAGTTTTGTGAGAGCGCGGACAAGCAGGCATCGAGCAAGGCTGCCGCCACAATACAGTTTTAGATGGCTTTAGCCTCGTATAACAAAAGTTATTTAATGGAATATTTTTAACATTTTTTTCTTTACCAACGTGTTATTAACAATGACTTCAAAAGGAAAGATAGGCCCATCTAAATATTTTAGTCATAACTTTTCGTACAAGAAAAAATAGCGCATCTGTCATAATACAAACGTCATATCAAAACACGACGTAACCAGGGTCGAATTTCGTAGTATAATTATAATAATTGTACCAGTATTTCATAGTTTGTAGTACATGGTATCGTACTAATACTAAGCGAAAATGCCATAATTTTACCTAAAGATTGACTTATAAAGAGCCGTGGTAGCTCAGTGGTTAACGCTCGCTGTAAATATAACAGAACGCGAGTAACCCGGGTTCGATCCCCACCGGCACCAATGAAATTGTTAATTGCAATTTTAAGTGCTGATTTACCACGTGCTCGGCGGTGAAGGAAAACATCGTGAGGAAACCTGCATGTCTGAGGAATAAGAAAAAAAAATATTTCGAAGACATGTGAAGTTCGTCAACACGCATTTGGGCAGCGCGGCGGACACTTCCTTGCCCTAAACCCTCTCAGAAATGAGGGGAGGCCTGAGCCCAGCAGTGGGACATATATAGGCTGTAACTTTACTTTACTTTTATTGACTTATATTATTATTGGGTCCTTTTACATTTTAATATTAACCCTACGAGAGATATCGAGAATTTCTGTATTGTACATGAGTACCGCGTTTTTTTAATAAAATTAGAATTAGCTCCCTTTCTGGTCAATCGATGCTCGATCGATGCATTTATGTTGCATCCTTGATACAACTATAATGAGGGGCTACCACGATAAAAACTCTATGCTCCAGAAGCAATCGGTTTGAAAACAGAATTTCAAAATATTTTATGAATCAGATTTTGAGATTCAATTAAACAGATATGGTTTTTTTTGTACTCTTTTCGTTTTACCCTTAATGAATATAAAATATATTAGGTACCAATATTCAAAATTTAACTTACACTAAGTTCTTTAGACAAAAATTAAACAGAAATGAAAATAAAACCGTCAAAAAACGGCACATGGGAAAAAAGAAACATTAAACGTCAAACGTGATATAATTTTTTTTTAAATAGTATAATTTTATTTTTTATTTTTTTGTATTCTTTTACCACGCAACTAGACATATTTGTGACAGACAAATCTGTCCTGCGCGGGCACTACTGTCAACCGATTCTCGTTGGCCCTAAACTGTAATTTTAGGGCCAGCGCACTGGTCCGTTTTAGTTGTTCGATCGGCCCGGTACTTACGCTAGTAATATATAAGTCAATGGTTATTAAGCTAATAGAGTATTGGTGATGATCAGTGTTAGTTTAATGTAACATTCAATCACACGCCGCAATTTGTAAACAAATCTCTGAAATTATAGTTGTATGGCTTATCTTTGAGGACGACCACTGGATATATTTTCGTGTTGTTTACAGGACAACCAGAGCAGTAACGGCACGTTCATCAACAACAAACGGTGTTCTACATCGGAGCTTGAGCCGCAGGAGGTGTTCTCCGGTGACGTGGTCCAGTTTGGCATTCCCGTCGTTGAGAATGCTGGAAATTCGGAAAAGGTACACAAAAGGATCCTATGAGTTAAAAATATCATTTTGAACTGCAGCATAAAATATGAGATACCTAGGTATAAGTTTAATTTTATAGCAAATAATTGTTACAATCTTTTTTTTTTTTAATGTGAAGCCCAAATTTTAATGTAATAAATTAAATGAATACATGTTTTGAGGTTTTTAAAGAATATTTCAATTAAAGAATATTCTCATTATACCATATCTAATTCCTGTCGTAATCTGTTCTTCTGTGCATACGAGTATAACTTAAACAAAATAATTTCGATGTTTCACATCTGCCAGGCGTCCCTTTTTTAATTTTGTACATAGTTTGTTTGTACTTTGTTCATGATTTCCTTTTGTTTATGTATTGTATTATATGTAAATATCTTTTTCTTTCGCTCAAGCAAACCCAAACCGCTTTTTTCAAAGAAAGCCACCGAAGGTATGCAATTGCTGATATGTCATACAATCTATCTAGCAGTAGTATGCCTTCTATGTGCTTTATTAAACACGTCCTCGACTTTAAGTTATAATGCAGACGTAATATAACTTGTATTTACTAGGAATAATTTGGTTGTTATATTCGTTTTGTAAAATACTATCTTCCAACTCGGGATAAAGTTATGTCTGCACAGACTTAATAAACACAAGCGGTAATAGAAGTTTTCAAAAAGAGTTCTATTGAGAGGTAATATTCAAAGTAGCTAAGTGTACAATTAGCAGCTGACCTGATGCTAATTGTACGTGCAAACTAGTGAACGACAGACTTAATAAACACAAGCGGTAATAGAAGTTTTCAAAAAGAGTTCTATTGAGAGGTAATAATCAAAGTAGGTAAGTGTACAATTAGAAGCTGACCTGCTGCTAATTGTACGTGCAAACTAGTGAACGACAGACTTAATAAACACAAGCGGTAATAGAAGTTTTCAAAAAGAGTTCTATTGAGAGGTAATATTCAAAGTAGATAAGTGTACAATTAGCAGCTGACCTGCTGCTAATTGTACGTGCAAACTAGTGAACGACAGACTTAATAAACACAAGCGGTAATAGAAGTTTTCAAAAAGAGTTCTATTGAGAGGTAATATTCAAAGTAGCTAAGTGTACAATTAGCAGCTGACCTGCTGCTAATTGTACGTGCAAACTAGTGAACGACAGACTTAATAAACACAAGCGGTAATAGAAGTTTTCAAAAAGAGTTCTATTGAGAGGTAATATTCAAAGTAGATAAGTGTACAATTAGCAGCTGACCTGCTGCTAATTGTACGTGCAAACTAGTGAACGACAGACTTAATAAACACAAGCGGTAACAGAAGTTTTCAAAAAGAGTTCTATTGAGAGGTAATATTCAAAGTAGCTAAGTGTACAATTAGCAGCTGACCTGCTGCTAATTGTACGTGCAAACTAGTGAACGACAGACTTAATAAACACAAGCGGTAATAGAAGTTTTCAAAAAGAGTTCTATTGAGAGGTAATATTCAAAGTAGCTAAGTGTACAATAAGCAGCTGACCTGCTGCTAATTGTACGTGCAAACTAGTGAACGACAGACTTAATAAACACAAGCGGTAATAGAAGTTTTCAAAAAGAGTTCTTTTGAGAGGTAATATTCAAAGTAGGTAAGTGTACAATTAGCAGCTGACCTGCTGCTAATTGTACGTGCAAACTAGTGAACGACAGACTTAATAAACACAAGCGGTAACAGAAGTTTTCAAAAAGAGTTCTATTGAGAGGTAATATTCAAAGTAGCTAAGTGTACAATTAGCAGCTGACCTGCTGCTAATTGTACGTGCAAACTAGTGAACGACAGACTTAATAAACACAAGCGGTAATAGAAGTTTTCAAAAAGAGTTCTATTGAGAGGTAATATTCAAAGTAGCTAAGTGTACAATAAGCAGCTGACCTGCTGCTAATTGTACGTGCAAACTAGTGAACGACAGACTTAATAAACACAAGCGGTAATAGAAGTTTTCAAAAAGAGTTCTATTGAGAGGTAATATTCAAAGTAGCTAAGTGTACAATAAGCAGCTGACCTGCTGCTAATTGTACGTGCAAACTAGTGAACGACAGACTTAATAAACACAAGCGGTAATAGAAGTTTTCAAAAAGAGTTCTATTGAGAGGTAATATTCAAAGTAGCTAAGTGTACAATTAGCAGCTGACCTGCTGCTAATTGTACGTGCAAACTAGTGAACGACAGATTTAATAAACACAAGCGGTAATAGAAGTTTTCAAAAAGAGTTCTATTGAGAGGTAATATTCAAAGTAGCTAAGTGTACAATTAGCAGCTGACCTGCTGCTAATTGTACGTGCAAACTAGTGAACGACATGGCTTTTAGGTTTTTTTTTAAATAGAATAAGTGTGACATACAAGAACACAGTCCATCTGATGGTAAGTGGATGCTGTGACCTATAGACATTTACATTTGTTCTCAATTAAGAATCAAAATGCAGATGCGTTGCCATCCCTGAGGACTAAGATGGAGTGCCTGATTGCAAGTTAAAAGGGTCTTCGGTGCTCTACATTCACCATACGATACACAGCAGCATTAAGCTGCTATTTTACAGTGGCGAACCTAGGGCTCCAAACTAGGGCAAGCCCAAGATATGGTTTCGTTGTTTTTAGCAGTTTTATAAAAATACACGAATCTTGATCTGTCGACACTTCAGTTTCATATTCATTGTTGTCGAGGACTTGTTTAACAAATCACACAGAAGGCATACTGCTGCTAAATAGATTGTATGACATATCGGCAATTTGCATACCTTCGGTGGCTTTGAAAAATCCGTGTGGGTTTGCTTGAGCGAAAGAAAAAGATATTTACATACAATTCAATATATGAACAAAAGAAAAGCATGAACAAAGTACAAACAAACTGTGCAAAATTAAAAAAAACAAACGATTTATATTCTAAATCGAATCGTCTCTCTTTCTTAAGGAAATATTTGATTATGTCCACGTAAAATGTTGGTTTTCTCAACAAAGTTTAAAAGTTATATTTTCCTCGCCGATTAGCACTTGTAACACACTTCAATTTATCATAAGAAACACTATTATCCTTCATTTTCATTACAAATCTTTAAAACAGCATCAATTTTCAACTCGCAATATTCATTCGCTGAAGTAAACACACAGAGTAAACATTAAAATGAGAAGTGAACTTGCAAACGTATCGCCTGCACACCCGGTGCTCGACTAACTTACACCGAAAGCCCGTCTTATTGCTACAAACTAATTGTTATCGTAGTTATATTTCGTTATAGAACATTTTGCCACAGGTTAGAATGGGAGCAATCGTCTTCTTGAAAGCCCGGTAAAAAGACCACGCGTGCGAGAGAGACGACTAATCGCTCAACTCAACTCCTTGCTTTCATTAATTTTGAAAGTACATTGCGTGTTCGCTTTGAGACAGAGAGAGCACGAATCAGTGTATTTCGAATTGAAAGCAAATTACATAATAAGGCTACGAGGTCATGACCTGTGTAAGAACAGAGGAGTGCGTGGAAAATTTGAAATAGTTTAAAACAGTTTACGAGTTATTTTATTAGTTGATATTATTGATTGAACAGTTTGATAGGGCAAGCCCGGCTTCTCGGCTTCTATGGAGGCTTCACTACTGCTATTTTATGCTAGGAATCTTTGAGAACGTGGTCCTACTGTTCACGTCTGAGCCAACGCACAGATTGGCTCTACCACATATAATTAGTCAAGGTATTATTCTTGCTTTTAAATATTAATTTTTCATTTTACAGAACACGTTTCCGCCGGTGGTTGCACTACTCAAGCTATACCACCCCGATGGCAAAGAAGCAAAGCTGTCCTTTAATCCCACCATGACGACTCCGCTACATTTGAAAGAGTTATACCAGCTGAATAATTACGTTCAGGTAATTTTTTTAATAGAACGAAATGATTAACTTCCGTCATAGCAAGATTAGTTAAGAATGTTTGAACGTGCACGTTTACGTACATTGGAGTAATAAAGTTTAATTTACGTTTAATTTAAATTATTAAAGGATATTTATTATTTTTAAAAGGATATCTAAAAATTATTGTGGGATAAAATAGAGGTGAGGATAATATCATCGTCACAAGTTTAATGCTCAACATTCTGCCCTCCCAAGATGTGCCACAAATCTGGTTCAAAACCATCTGCATTCATTAATGTCCTGGGTGTCTTATCAGTCGTCACTCCATATGCGATATCTGCAGTAAGAAGAGAGTAGTCAACATAAATGTTTAAAAGCATGATCTATAAATATTATATTTTGCTAAAAGTCTGACAATATTGTTACGCGCTCCAGTCAACGATACACTAGCGCCATCTAGTGTCAGGAACGAGAGCGAGGGGAGCATTGAGAAAATGACATCACAAATTACTCAACCGACAGCGCCTAGTCGAAACTCGAACGCTCGGTACCTTCCGCGTGTTTACTTGAACATTCTGGATATTTCTTTGCTAATTTAAATATATAGGCGCTGCAAGATGCGATGGAAGTAGTGTTGATTTGGGCGAAACAAGCGAAGCTTCGGAGTGGAATTAAGTGAATTAGTGTGTTTAAATTATTAGTGTTTTAACTCTAATTGTGTAAAGTAAATTAAAGTGTTAATTTAGGTAATTTTATCGGCAATTTTTATTGTCACGAACCTCAAGCACGTAACAATTGGTGTCAGAAGTGGGATAAAATCATGCCGATTTTACCTAAGGAGGAAACGGAGGGTGTCCGTACCCGAAATCAACGCCAGCAGGAGACGGACCAACGAAGATTTGGTGGTGCAACGCCGCAGACGTCGGAGGACCAGCCACCGGCTGCAGGCCCGTCGGTAGCTCCTACATCTGCAGCACCTGACTTAGGTGCTCTGATGGTGATGCTGCAGGAGCAGGCTCGCCAGCAGGCGGAACAGGCACGCCGATTGGAAGAGCAGCTGCGGGGCAGACAGGAAGAACAGGCCCGTCGGTTGGAAGAGCAGATGCTCCTCATGAAGGACCTTCACGCTACCTTCGGGAAGGAGATAAAGGAGGTGAAGGATAGGGTTGCTCAGCATGACAACCGCCTGTCGGAAGCCGAAACCCAAATCGCGAAAGCTGAAAACCGAATCGAGAAAGCTGAAACCCGAATCGACCAAGTAAACAATCGGGTTGACAACGTAGTGGCTGACATGAAGAAATCACTAAACGACCTCAAACTTGGGGATGGAACTACAGCTCCCGTAGTAGCTGCAGCACCTTCGCTACGTGGATTCAAAGTGCCGCCGTTCGACGGGACCTCTTCCTGGTCGGCCTACAAAATCCAGTTCGAGGCCGTCATGGAGGCGAACGGCTGGAATAAAAGCCAAGCCATGACTGCACTCACCCTAGGCCTGCGTGACCAAGCCTTAACTGTGTTGGAAGCTCTCGGTAAGAAAGTGACCTATGAGCAGCTTCTTGAGGCCTTGGAAGCGAGATATGGCGACGCTCATCTGGAACACGTCTTTCGCGCACAGCTTAAAGATCGCGTGCAGCGCAGCAACGAGAACCTGCAGCAGTGGGCCCTTGAGGTGGAGAAGATGGTTCGAAAAGCATACCAGTCTGTACCTGCGCTCATTGAAGGGAACCTGGTTCAGACATTCATCGACGGCATCCGCGACCTTGAAGTCAGAGCTGCTGTGAGACTCGGGCACCACGACACGCTTAAGAACGCCTTGGCCCATGCACTGGAGGTGGAAGCCGTGCGGCAGGATCATCGTTCCCATCGCATCAGGGAGGTTGCAGCAGCTACAGTTCGCGACCGCAACAAAGGATACAGCCCAAGGTGCTATGGCTGTGGGGAAAAGGGCCATCTTCGAATCAGCTGCCCTAAGCGAACCGTGGAAAGGAGAGTTGATCGATCTCGAGAGGGTAGTGTAGCTAACGACACTGCCTGGCGGCGACAGGATCATCGTTCACCTCACGCTAGGGAGGTTACAGCAGTTACGGTTCGCGACCACAATAAAAGATACAGCCCTAGGTGCTATGGCTGTGGGGAAAGGGGCCATCTTCGGTCCAGCTGCCCTGAGCACACCCTACGAAGGGAAGGTGAACGGTCTCAGAAAGGAAGTGCGGCTAACAGCACCGCCCAGCAGCAGCAGGAATACGACTTTACTATCAGACACTGCAGCGGGAAATCTCACGGCAACGCAGATGCATTGTCAAGAAGACCTTGTCCTGAAGATTGCAACCATTGTAGTAGGCAAGAGAGTAAGGAGGTGGTATCCGTGAGGATGCTCAGGACAGACCACCTCAACAACGGGTGGAAGGACAACCTACGACATGCACAGCAGGAAGATCCGGACATTAAGCCGATTCTGGGATGGATGAAGGCCCGTGCTACCAAGCCTAAGTGGAGGGACGTCTCAGCGATGAGTTCAACCACGAAAAGCTATTGGGCCCAATGGGACAGCTTGCTGATTCAGGATGGAGTCCTGTGCCGTAAATGGGACAATGGTCGAAGAGACAGCTGTCGTTTGCAAATGGTTGTCCCTAAAGCTAAAGTGCCGAATGTTCTACAGTTGTGCCATAATGATCGTTCAAGAGTCCATCTGGGAGTTAAACGAACTCTACTGAAGGTCCGAGAACAGTTTTACTGGGTCCATTATCGTGACGATGTTGAGGATTGGTGTCGTACATGTACAAGTTGTGCGGCCGAGCGGGGACCTCGGACACGTAGTAGAGGAGCACCGAAATTGTACAATGTTGGTGCACCACGGGATAGGACAGCCCTTGACATTGCGGAGCCGTTACAGAAAGGCGCAAGAGGGACTCCTAAGATCGTCCATGTGAATCGCTTGGCGCGTTATTATGGGGCCGATAATGCTCGGGACGAGCATGTCTTAGGAGGGGGCAGTGTTACGCGCTCCAGTCAACGATACACTAGCGCCTTCTAGTGTCAGGAACGAGAGCGAGGGGAGCATTGAGAAAATGACATCACAAATTACTCAACCGACAGCGCCTAGTAGAAAATCGAACGCTCGGTACCTTCCGCGTGTTTACTTGAACATTCTGGATATTTCTTTGCTAATTTAAATATATAGGCGCTGCAAGATGCGATGGAAGTAGTGTTGATTTGGGCGAAACAAGCGAAGCTTCGGAGTGGAATTAAGTGAATTAGTGTGTTTAAATTATTAGTGTTTTAACTCTAATTGTGCAAAGTAAATTAAAGTGTTAATTTAGGTAATTTTATCGGCAATTTTTATTGTCACGAACCTCAAGCACGTAACAATATGTTGAAAGCAAGTTAAGCCGTAGCAGAGCATTCAACACTTCCAATAGCCCTGTTAAACTACAACTATGCTTAAAGATAACACAAATCATCGACCTCAAACAAAGTAATGCATGGACACAATTATTGTGTAATGAACATTTCAGTATTTATATGGTTTTTCAACTAACAATTACGTAGTTAATGGGATGTTAGGGCGGAATGAATCGCAAAATATCGTTATTTACCTTACCTTAGAGTCTACAAAAGTCCAACATACATAGTGCGTATGGGACATTGTCTCAAAGGGAGGATATTTGATATAATTTGTATAATTTGGTTGGCAACTGAAGTTTTTATTAGCTGTTATCGAGAAGTTGCTGCTGTGCTTTATGTCACCTCATACGACAGTCACGGGATGATATGGGATAGTAGAAATTCTTACACCGTCACTACATGGTTAAATAAATAAAGAATAGTGGGTATATCTTAATTCGCCTTATAATGACAACGTCATATTGTGCATGATATTTCCCATTTTAAACGTGATTAAATAAAATAATACCTGATGTTGCCGAACGTGACGATAAAAGGTCGCATTTAGCATTTGGCGTGGCGAACAGCCACTGTTTTTCGAGTAGTTCGAGCAGCGGCAGCATGATAATAGTAAATAAACAAAACCGACACAATAAACTAAAGAAATAAAATAAAAATCGCAAATAATTTTAAATAGTTTTATTATTTTACTAACATAGAGTACATTTTCAGAGTTTAAATTATGAAAGTATCATTTGCGTTCATGTTATGTTTACCGTTCGTGCAGGAGGCCATCCAGCGCGAGGCTTCCTTAGAGGGTAGACTGCGTACGTTGCGCGAGTGCGTGGAGAGAACGCGCGCGGACGCGCAAGCATCGTGGGAGCTGTTCGTGGGCGAGCAACGCCTGCTAACGCGCGTGCACACCCTCGAAGCCATGCTGGCGGCCGGCAAGCAACCCGACCACCACCACGTTGTGCAGCTGCTCACCGACAAGAGGAACTACCAGGTTCATTTAAACACCGTTTCAGCTCATCAAAGCCATAGAGACATAGTCCTCCCTGTTATATGCTTCATACGGGGATATTTGCCATAGGTGCTATCCTTTACAGACTGGTTACAAACTGCAGTTTTTTTTAAATTTTGGCTTGGTATCAGGAAGATACTGCTGTCTATTTCCTGTTTCAGTTTTCCTCTATTACCTTCACGAGACAATATGATGTAGTAGATATTCTTACACTGCCACTGGTTTGTTACCCTTTGCTTACGACATTCACGGGACAGTATGGAGTATATGTGTAGTGGCGGTGTAAGAACATTATGATAAAATTGGAAGGAGTTTTGCCATATGATAAAGTATTTCAGCGTTTGATGTTGTTTTTGTTACAATTTGCCAAATGGCGGGCAAAGATTTTCAACCATACAGCCTAGTCTGATTTGTGTTTTGTTCATACAACTCTTCACTATTTGTTGATATGACGTCACATTGCGAAGCCCTAGATTTTGGCGAAAATCTAAGTGATGACTTCAAGTTGTATCACGTCGTAGAAACATTGGCAGACTTGATGACTTATAGATCTGAGACGTGGTCTTTCACTGCTGACCGGTTGAGGATGCTCAAGGTCGCTCAGCGAGTTATGGAAATGGCTATGCTCGGGATTTCTCTGCGTGATAAACATATAAATGAGGATATCCACAGTAGAACCAGGGTGACCGACATAGCCCAACGAATTAGTAAGCTGAAATGGCAATGGGCCGGCCATATAGGTCAAAGAACTGACAACCGATGGGGAAAATCGTTCTCAAGTGGCAGCCTTGTACCACTAGGTGAAGTGTAGGGCGTCCCCCCTCTAGATGGAGTGACGACCTGGTAAGACATGCAGGAAGTCGATGGATACTGGTGGCTCAGGACCGTGCTTTGTGGAATTCCTTGGGGGACGCCTATGTTCAGCAGTGGTCACTTGTGAAGGGCTGTAATGATGATAACATATAATTGTTGTATTTTTCTATTTTCTATTTATCTATAAAGAGGTTATATTAGTATAATTATGTATGTTTAATAATACTGTTGCTTAACCAACTTCAATAGCTCGAAGTGGCTCCCATAATTGTGGGGAGGGGAGTGTAACACGTAAAATAATGTTGTGGTGTTGTGTGCGTGTATGCAGGAGGTGGCGCAGGAGAGCCTGCGCGCGGCGCACGAGCAGAGGCTGGCGCTGGAGGAGACGCTGGAGCGCCGCAGCCGCGAGGCGGCCGCGCTGCACCACCACAACTACGCGCTGCGCCTTACCGCCAACAACGCGCTCGCCGAACTGCAGGTATTGTGTTTGTGTGTGTGTGCGTGCGTGCGTGCGTGCGTGCGTGCGTGTGTGCATGCGTGTGTGCGTAATGCGGGCGTGCGTGACGCGTACGTGATGCATATGTGATGCATGCGTGATGCGTGAGTGCGTGCGTGCGTGTGTGCATGCTTGCGTACGTGTGTGCGTGATGCGTGCGTGATTCGTGCGTGCGTGCGTGCGTCCGTGCGTGCTTACGTGCGCGCGTGCGTGCGTGATGCGTGCGTGCGGGCAGGAGGTGGCGCAGGAGAGCCAGGTACGCTTAGCTCCAGGTACCCTTAACTGTGGGTGCTGACTGACATTTTCTATTCCACTCCATACAGCCTATAAAAGTACACATAAGACACCCTCATAGATTTGGTGGGTTGGCAACCACAGTTTTTGTAATTTGAGTTATTATCAGGAAGATGAAGCTGTCATCTCATGTTTCAGTTTCCATCTATAGCCCCTAACAACTTCGGTACATGTTCTTATAACGCCACTACTACTGGTTAAAACTTGCTTCTGTTAATTTGTTTCATATCTTTTTTATTGAATTACTAGCAATGCTTTAAAAATAACCCACCAAACTGCTATACAAACAACCACTAAGATAAGCTTAAAATATTTGTGTTTAAAGTAGTTTGTAAGTTAGATTCGATTTTTTATTATTCAAAAATATACAAATAAGATAGTTATTTAGTGAAAAAACGACATTATGCTATATTTCCATACAATTTCTATAGAAGTCTTGATAACTTTTTAAAAAGGTATTTCAATTTAATGCTTTTTTAGAGCCACCAAAGTTCAGTGTTTGGTTGCTTTAAGAATCAGAGACACTGCAATCGTCGATCTGCTTGTTATAAAAAATATTATAAGCGTTAAGATTGGCGATAGAGGTCCATGTCCAACAGTGGAATTTTACGACTTGATGATGAGAGGAAGATTCCGATTCTATTAGTTTGTGTAATGTTGGTGTGTATGTGTGTATACGAGCTTGTGTATGTGTGTATACGAGCTTGTGTATGTGTGTATACGAGCTTGTGTATGTGTGTATACGAGCTTGTGTATGTGTGTATACGAGCTTGTGTATGTGTGTATACGAGCTTGTGTATGTGTGTATACGAGCTTGTGTATGTGTGTATACGAGCTTGTGTATGTGTGTATACGAGCTTGTGTATGTGTGTATACGAGCTTGTGTATGTGTGTATACGAGCTTGTGTATGTGTGTATACGAGCTTGTGTATGTGTATACGAGCTTGTGTATGTGTGTATACGAGCTTGTGTATGTGTGTATACGAGCTTGTGTATGTGTGTATACGAGCTTGTGTGTGTGTGTGTGTGTGTGTGTGTGTGTGTGTGTGTGTGTGTGTGTGTGTGTGTGTGTGTGTGTGTGTGCGTGCGTGCGTGCGTGCGTGCGTGCGTGCGTGCGTGCGTGCGTGCGTGCGTGCGTGCGTGCGTGCGTGCGTGCGTGCGTGCGTGCGTGCGCTTGCGTGTGCGTGTGTGTGTGTAATGTATTACATATATGTCGTTAGTAAACGAAGGATGATATCGACCCCAAATCATGACTTTATAGCATAATAAAGCCAAAGAGTACCAAATAAACAAATAAATGAACTCAATTTCCTGTTTATAATATTGGTCAAGATTTAATCATTACATTTATTGCATTGTACCGTGGACATGTTAACATGTCCACGGTATACACCGTTGAGTACCGCGAACATGAATTCATGTCCGCATTACGTGCTGCTATTTTCGTCTTAATTGATATAAAAATACAGTATATTTTTAATTGAACACTAATTCATTCGATTCTGAACGAACTAAAGAATATTCTGAAGAATTATATTCACTCGGTTACATCGACAAAATCAAATATAACAGCCATTCGCTTTTGCGCTGCTGTTGCGGTTAGTTGTGTAATCGTTGAAGTTTTGTGATTGTGATTTTAGTTGGATTTTCTTTCAAAAAACGGTAAGTAATGTTATTTATCTTTACTACGTAATGTTTTTGAATGATCTAAGTTACAACAACAGTAACTTTTTATGTTTCAATTGATAAAAAAGTAGAAATATAAAACCTCTACGCGAACAATTCATAACGGCCAAGATTTCTAATAAGATTCTAATAAAATAATAATAGTATATTTCTTATTGGAATACCATAGTAAATACTTTTACTAGGAATTGCTAAATGTTATATCTATATGATTGTATAAGAAAAATAAAGGAAGACGATATAAAATATATACACAAAAAGGTTTTGAAAATGAGTTTACAAAGCACGCGCAAACTGTCTATTGTCGAATTTTTAGCAAATGTTTGCAAGTGAAAAAGTAGAATTATTATAATTATTAATGCATGATTTCGGTTCATTTAGGAAGAATATGTTGTATTGATTGTAAGGACATAAAAATAAAATAAAAACTTACGATATTTCATTCATAAAACAAAATTTATTGTCAGTAAGTACACTTTATCAAGATCCGTTAGAAACAAAGAGCTGTACAAAATAAAATAAACATTTAAATGTTATGGTTATTGTTTCTACTTATCGAAAATCTTATCGGCTTTAAATAACTGTAACTAAAACCTCTTTAAACATAAATGAAAGGTCGTGAGAAACATAAATATTTAAAACAAATACCGCCAGCTGAGGTGACGACAGAGGCCCCCGTATAAAGCTGTTTTTTGTTATAGCGGGCGCAGTAAGGGAAAGGTTAAGCGCAAAGCGCGTAGGTATGTTCTACTAACACCTAAAAATCAAGAATCCAACGTTTTGTCGCATGAAATCGATTGATACTACATAAGGATGCCACGGAGGGTTTATGGATCGATGTGGCCTGATTTGTGCCATAAGCATTTTAAAAATTAAAAAAAAGTATAAAATGCTGCGTATTTTTTGTTACAGAAACTGGCAGCGCGTTGTGAGCGAAAAATGTGTGCGGCTAGACTCGCCATAGCTGCCGCGGAGGAACGGGAGCAAGCTGTGCGCAAACATTTGCCGCTCGCTGTAAGTAACAAAGCTTAATGGGGATATTTTAGGTGGTAGTAAATATGGTTGTAGCACGAAAGGGTCGGCTCGATCGAAGTGAGACTACGCTCTCACAGAATACCAGCGTAAAATAGCAGCTTAATGCTGCTGTGTTTCATTTTGTTATGAGCTTGGGGTTCGTGACAGCAAAAACTGCCGATTGAATTACCAAAACTGACACTTTAATTACCAAACACTAATACCAACTTAAAACACACTGATAATTAAACACAATTGTACTACTGATCACTTTAGTTCGCAGTTATATCGCTTCGAAGTATTCGCTTGTCTTGGAAATCTCTGGAAGGATTTTGACTCTCCTAGTTATGCTACTCGATACTAGAGGGCGCTAGTGATAACTGATGTCACCATGTATCAGGTATTAATTATGGTGCGCAATGTGGTGTAGAAAATGGACACTATTTGTACGTGAACGAGGCAGAGGCATAGTATCTTAGTCTTCAGAGTGACAACACATCTACATTTTGATCCTTAATCGAGGATAGATGTAGATGTCTATGGGCCATAGCATGCGCTTCTTATATTTTACATTTTACATAAGGGTGACAAACAACTGACAATAAGAGGATGTTGTGGCCAAAAGGTAGCTACATCTATAAGTGTAAGTATCAAAATCCAGTTGCATTATCATTTCTGTGGACAAAGATGCAACATCATCAGTAAAATACGTACTTATTTGAAGAAATTACAGTTCAATATACTGAGTGCCTTGTTCACAATTTTGTTATGAATTTAGTGACTATAAACTTTTTTAAATCAAGTGCTGCTTTAGCCCATAGACACCATCTTCAATTAAAATCAAAATTCAGATGCATTGTTGCCCTGGAATGAGATGGAATGCCCCATTACTAGCAAAAATGGTCTCTAGTTTTTATTAATCACCATATGGAACATGGAAACATTATGCTGCAATTTTGAATTTGGTATTCTACGCACAAAAGTGCGAGCGTGGTTTTTCCCTGGTGAGCCACCCCATTGATACTGCAGCCAGAATATGGCGGAGCAAGACTGCAACGTATAAATAAAAGCTGTTCTGAAGTATGCCATGCCATTGGCATCTTATGAAAAACTGCAGAGACCTATGTTCTTTCTATGTTGTGCCCAGTGCAGTTAAGATTTGCTATTATGATGCACTTAGGTGGGGTAAACCACATCTGTTGCGGTGTCAGAATATCCACTACCCCCATATCTTCTTGTGGGTATCGTAAGAAATGACAGAGGACAAACCAAAAAGTGGACACCAGTGTTTTTCTAGCTAAAAATAAAAAAGACCTTTGCCGCTTTCCAAGCGAAGGAACTTTTCCAATTTAATTCAATTTAATTTATTTGTTTTCACAGGTAACAAAGTTGAAAAATGCAAAATTTTGCAGTACCTCCGTGAAATGTTTTACAGTTTACGAATGTATAATCCACACATAAAATTAAATATAAACGAAACAAATCAAATAACAATAAAATTTAGTAAACAGAGTCAAAACAATATTATTAAGATACATATTTAAATCATTAGTAAATAGAAATTCATTGAAATTATGACATTTATCTATAAGAAAATTATTTTAAATATATTTACCTTTTTGCACATCATAACATTATATGTGAATAGGTAATATTTTATATAATTTAAAGGCCATTTCAACAACACATTTTTTTCACAAGGGCAGTTGTACATACATTTGTCCGGGTTTTTTTGTTTCCGAGGACGAGAGTTAATAGAAGATGATTGTACACTTATCTCAAAAAGATCCGGATTGCACTTTACAAACATACATGATTCTATTATATAAATACATGGTAATATTAATACCTTAAGGGATCTAAAGTATGGTATGCAACTTTTTATAGGCTTTATCCTACACATAGCTTGAATACCCTGTAACTTTCAGCATTAATTCCCTGTATGTATGTTGATAGTCCTCAAAGTATTATCCAATATCGCATGGTGGCCTATGTTCACGAGTGGACTTTTGTTAGGCTGTAAAGGTAATGGTAACTTTTTTTAAATAAAATGTAACCTCCACACTACATAAATATCCAAAGAACAAACATCCATATTAGGCTATACAAATACTTTCCTTACGAATTTTATCGCGTTTAATTTATTTTTAATACCTGACGTTTCGGGTGCTTTCCAGCTCCCATGGTCATTAACCCGGAGTATCTTAACACTGACATCGGGACGTCAGTCAACTCAGTCCCCAGTGACCATGCGAATATGCAAACGCGATAAAATTCGTAAAAAAAGTAGTTTTAATCAATGTGTGGTGTTCGCGTAAATATAACAAAGCCATTATATACAAATACTTGTTCCGTGCGGGATATGAACTCGCGGCGCTACGGGCCGTCATGCGCGAGTATAAGGCAAGCAGTGATGTGTGGATGTCGGTTGGCAGTGTTCGGTGCAGAACGGCGAGGCGCGGCTGCTGGTGCTGAGCACGGACAGCAACCGGCTGCAGGACGCCAAGCGCGGCGCCTCGCTCGAGGACGCCGTGCGCGCGCTGCCCGACTACATCAAGCTGCTGCTGCCGCAACACCTGCTCAACAAGGCACGCATCACACACATAAAAAAGTTAAAGTAAAGTTACAGCCTATATACGTCCCACTGCTGGGCACAGGCCTCCCCTCATTCCTGAGAGGGTTTTAGGGCAAGGAAGTGTCCGCCGCGCTGCCCCAATGCCCCAATGCGTGCTGGCGAACTTCACATATCTTTGAAATATTTTTTTTTCTTATTCCTCAGAGATGCAGGTTTCCTCACGATGTTTTCCTTTACCGCCGAGCACATGGTAATTAAGCACTTAAAATTGCAGCGAGCGTTAACCATCTGAGCTACCACGGCTCACACCACACACATACCACACCTTAATCAAAATTAAGTGAAAAATGGTGCACACGAAGTCGTTCAATATCTTAAATTCACATTTTCAGATTTCATCAGCGGTATTTAACCCATTTGCTGACAACTCTACTTTCGATCATTTCTATATTGCCAGTTAGAAATGTACGTAGAAGTGTAATAACTTTTAAGTATAACACATGCATTGGACCTGTTAAGAATGTTAATCAATACTCAATTCTGATCCAATTCCAAATATGTTAAAAAAATAACCTAAAATTTTTACCTACTTGTAAATTTAAATAATTATTTTAGAGCATTATAAACTTCACGCCCCTACTAAAAATGCAAACGAAATAGTGATAATAATAAAGGTAAAAAACCGCACAGTCTCCGGCTGCCCTGCTATTCCTGGCTACGGTGGCCATGGTAGCGGCGGGGCAGAAGGTGCTAAGAATTTCCGGTGGAAAGTTGCTCGCCACTTAAAACGACTCGAGCTAGCAATATTTAACGCACGCACCCTAACCCAGACATTATAAGATTGTCTCAGGTTCGAAGAGGGGAAGGACACTGTAATTCTAAAATCCGACACCTTGTTCTATTAATAATTATGTCCTCCAGAACGAATTTTAGTCACGGCGGCCAGTCTCAACGAAGACTAGCCGTCACAGAAACACTACTTATTCCCTCACTCTAATGGTCCGATGCGACGGTTATCTGACACTACCGGAGAGAGATCAGGCGCAGGAGCATCGGCTTTAAATGCTTTCCGAGGCACGGTGGTCAAACACCACCAATTTCCTTACTCCGAGCTGCTACTTAGAATTTCTTGACAAAAACACCCCAATAACAGATTTTTGGCCCGATCTGGAATTTGAACTCGGTACCTTATAATCAGCAATCGAGTTTATGACCACAAGAACAACGAGGCAATCAAATTTTTTTAGTCCTATTACCGGGACGGCAAACGTGTCTCAAGGACGTGTCGGATATATCGTCTATAAGTGTCTCATTAACAACGTTGTAAGGATTGTGTGTCGGTCAACGGAAATGTCATTTTAACTCTGCCATTCTTGTCACGCACGCATAGTTCAGACAGTCATCATCATTATCGTCATAATGACTTTATCTGTTTACACTAACACTACATTTATTTATGTAAATGATTGCTATTCTGTGGACTGTGTAGTATAATAGGCATAAAGGATCTATGCTCGGTATTTTCTTATTTTTAAGTTACATAAATCTACCAAATTTAAATTTTTAAGAATTGTAACGCGTTGAATTAATTTATTTTATAATATATTCCCCGACCTCTCTAGAGTTTTCCAGCAACCATGGTAATAGGGGACTGAGGTGTTCAACCATAGAATACTATAATACACAATAGAATGGCTGTCAACCTTATTTTATACGACGATAGGCGTCGCCGGGAGCACATACAATCAATAACGTCATATTATCACTACTACAAACCCTATTCGCTGTGTTGACAGACAGATTTTAATACATATTTTTGTAAATATCGTGCAATTTGGCATTTTCTAAATAATTTGCATGGGAAACTTGGAAATGATTGTAACATCAAAATACCATCTCGTATTGACGTTTATACGTGTGAATTGACATGTTAGTGACATTTTAGTGGCTACATGGGCTCCGCCCACTCCCCCGTGCTATTATGTATATATTATAGTATTCTATGTGTTCAACAGCTTTAAATTATTAATTTTTGATTCCATTCACGCAGAATAAACTAACAGTACTTTGAAGATGGAGTAGTTGGTAGCACAGCACCCAGCCATTAGGCATGACAGCTATATATCAAAACGTAACTAATAACGTTATGTTATCAAATATCATATCATATCATAAACCTAAGTACAAAACCGTTATCACATATCCAACCAAAACCATTTTTTTTATAGAAGAGGGGGCAAACGAGCATGCGGCTCACCCGATGTTAAGTGACTACCGCCGCCCATGTTCAACCGCAACACCAGGGGAATTGCAGGTGCGTCGCCGGCCCTTTAGAAAGGAATAAGCTCTTTTCTTGAAGGTCCCCAGGTCGTATCGGTCGGAAAAATCGCCGGTGTTAAACTATTCCACAGAGAGGTTGTACGCGGAAGAAAACTCCTTTTGGAACGTACTGTGGTGGACCGCCAAGCATCCAGATGGTGTGGATGGTATCGGGACGTTTGTCGCGTAGTGCGTTCACGAAATTTGGCGGCTGGGATTAATCCGAACAATTCTTCAGAGCACTCTCTATGGTATATGCGAAATAAAATGCAAAGAGATGCAACATCTCTTCGCAGTGCCAGTGAATCGAGCCGATCGGAAAGCACTCGGTCGTCGACGATTCCAGCCGCTCTGCGCTGGATGCGGTGACGTGGAAGGAGCTGGTACTGGGGAGCGCCAGCCCAGAGATGGGAACAGTATTCCATGTGCGGCCGAACCTGCGCCTTGTAAAGTTGCAGGCGGTGTGCCTGCATGAAACACTGTCCCGCTCTGCTGAGCACGCCAAGCTTTTTAGAGGCCAATTTGGCCTTCTCTTCCAAGTGACCACGAAACTGCATGTCACTCGATATGTCAACGCCGAGGATTCCGATACTGGCTCAGGCAACAAGGGGAGTGCCTTGAAACTGAGGAGATACGACAAAGGGTCAATAAGTAAATTTGTGTCTTCTGGGGGTTAAACTGGACTAGATTTAGTCGCCCCCAATCCGAGACTGTTCACCAAAGACTCGACTTCGACACAAGTTTGTCCCGGCACTCGGAGACGTTTTCCCGAGAAATATTGGCTCGGCCGGTGTAAAGAGCATCACCAGTGCTGTCATCTGCATAGCAATGAATGTTACGGGTTTGCAACATATCATTGATATGAAGAAGAAACAGCGTTGGCGATAGCACGCAGCCTTGTGGAACACCAGCATTAATAGGCTTGCAATCGGAGCTTGCACCGTCTACAACGACCTTGATGCTCCGATCTGCAAGAAAGCTGGTGATCCAATCGCACAATTTCTCGGGAAGCCCATAGGAAGGGAGCTTCGAGAGAAGCGTTTTGTGCCAAACCCGATCGAAGGCCTTCGCATTGTCCAAACTAACGGCCAATGCCTCCTCCTTGGACTCTACTGCCTCCGCCCATCTATGAGTTAGGTAGACCAGAAGATCACCAGCTGACCGACCACGGCGAAAACCGTATTGGCGGTCACTTATCAGCTGTTGATCCACAAGGTACCTCATGAGCTGGCAGTTTACAATAGACTCCATTGTTTTGGAGAACAAGGAGGTAATGGCGATAGGCCGGTAGTTGGACGGGTCTGAGCGGTCGCCTTTTTTTAGGGATCGGGTGGACGAAAGCCGTCTTCCATGATTTTGGGACTACGTCTAGGGAGTAGGAGTACCGGAAAAGACGCGTTAAAACCGGTGCCAACTCTGGAGCACACGTCCTCAGCACAATTGGGGGGATTCCGTCAGGCCCACTCGACTTGTGGATGTCCAGGGAGAGGAGTGCTTTGCGAACCGAGCGCTGTGTAAACTGCACTTCCGGCATGGAGCACTCACACCGCGGGATGGTCGGCGGCGTACTCCCCCCGTCATCGAGAGTCGAGTTGGACGCAAAGAAAGAGCCTAGAAGATCGGCTTTCTCCTTTGCGGTAGTGAGTCGTCCTCCCTGTGCAGAGATGGAAGAGATGGCTGACAGGAATTCCCCTGGACAGCCTTGGCGAGAGACCAGAATGCACGGGTTCCAGAAGGAAGGCGAACTAGTTTCTCGCCAATTCTGCCTATGTGCTCTGACTTTGCCTTGGCAATGACTCTTTTGAAGGACCTAGAGGCGGAATTATACTTCTTTTATATAGCGCTGGTGTTTACATCCCGGGACGCTGATGCGTCAGCCCAGGCTCGGTGGCACTCCTGCTTATAGCATGATGCTATTTTACAGGAGCGACCAAACCATGGCTGAGATTTGCCTCCAATGGGCACCACAGAGGAAGGAATAAAAAGTTCCATACCCTGAAGTACCACATTAGCGACAGAATCCGCAACAACGTTGGGATCGTCCGGCGAGAAGCAAACCCGCCCCCAAGGGTAGGATGCAAAGAAAGACCGCATCCCATCCCAATCGGCTGACCTATTGTGCCAAACACGGCGGCAGCCTGCGGAATGCAACTGCGATTTCAGCGTGAGTGGCACCACACTCCGGACAAGACAATGGTCCGAGGAGCCTAAAGGGGCTTCGACGGAAATCTGGTATCCGTCCGGGTGAGAGGTCAGCAGAAGGTCCAAAGGGGAAGGTGCATGATCCTCCACATCTGGAATCCGCGTAGGCGAAGTAACCAGTTGTGTCAGACCATAAGCCAAGGCAAAATCATGAACAGATTTCCCCGCATGATCGGTTAACCGTGAACCAAGCCTTTCGGCGTGATGGGCGTTAAAGTCGCCGAGGATCACGATCTCTGCGGAGGGGATCTGCTGTAGTAACGAATCTGTAGCCATTTGGACGTGGTCGAAGAGTCGGTCTGTTTCGGCATTACCGCTATGGGACATACGTACAACAGCAAAGCTGCCGCGTGGCTCTACCACTGTTAAATATACATACCTAACCAACATAATAAAACGAAATCGAAACGCATAACGCAAACTGTGGAACGATATCTCAAAACTGAAAACGGCCCACTAACTGATGACCATCGTTGATATTCATTACTTCTCATTCTTGCAATGATAGTTTAAATATATAAGTATAGAAATAGATGAAGCGAATATGGATATCGTTGCGATGTTTTGGTAGTTATCACACAACGGTGCACATTGCGAAATATAATATATAGTTAAAGCAATAAGGTCGAATTTTAAATAGTTAAAATTGCCTAAATTTTAAGTTTGTGTAGTTGTGAGAGTTATCAAATTTCATATGATCTTTACCTCATTAGGTACAAGGCTTAGATTTGTAAAACGTAAAACGCAAACACCGGAACGATATGCCAACACGGCCCACGAACTAAACCGATGCGATGTCCTTCATTGATATTCATTGTTTCTTGTTCTTGTGACGGTATCATAAATTCGTATAGAAAGAGAGGATTTCTGTTTTGGTAATTTTAGTTTCACACGGTACGCAATGCACATCTGGATATAATTACCTAAAGCAAAAAGGTCGAATTTCAAATGGTTAAAATTGCCTAATTTTTTAAGTTTGTGTAGTTGTGAGAGTTGTCAAATTTAAATGATTTTTAGGACAATAGACACAAGACTTGCATTTGTATGATCATATTATATTTGGTTTAGGCAACTTTTTGTTTATGTTTTTTTTTTTTATTTTTGATGGAAAGCTTAGAATTTGCTTTTTTCTAGAACGCAACAATTACGCACTTGGTCTTGGTGGCTCGTGCTCGTGCCATTCGCTAAGATACCTAATAACCTCCATTATGTTATTAATTTTTGATGTTGCGTTTGTGCATTTATTAAATATAATATAGCATAGTATAGTTTAAGTTGATTTAGACTTTTAATCATTTTTTAATGTAGACTTTCAAAATGTCGCGTAAGGCTAGTGAAATATGGTCTCACTTCGATAAAAAAGACAATTCCGACCACTTCTTCCACCGAAGCGGAATTAGCGGCTAGTGCAAATAAAAAACCTGCGGTTAATAGAGTTGAATTTGGAAATTGAATTCAGAATTCGAATTTAAAACTTTTCTGCTAGTTCTAAGCCTAGTTAAGCATGAAGGAAAACCGCCAACTTAAATAATTGTTTATAAATAAACTAACTAAAATAATTTTCTATATATGTATATAAATTATGTTGACATCTTAAGAATACACTTTAATTATAGACTTTGAAATCAGACTCTGATCCTACGTCTCAATTTGAAAAAGAATGGGTAACAAAATTAAAGAAATAAATAAGGATAGAATGAACGTAATTTTATTCACTACCCGATTATCATCCCGTGGGTGTCGTAAAAGGCGACATAAGGAAACAATTCAGGAGATGGACAGCAATTTTTTTTAGGTTTATGCCATCTAGCATCCATCCTACATACCACCTTCAATGTTTGTTCGATAAAATATCTTTACCTATACAACATAGTAGATGGCGCTATTACTGAAGTGCGCTCAGCTCAATCTTACTAAAATAAATACGTGTACCTTGGTAACTGTCTTAAATAAAATTAATATAATATTAGTATTTGAACAAAAGACCGTTGTAATTTTGTAATTGTACTACTATATACTTTATGGTATGTAATGCCCTGCGTTTGCGACTTGAATGATCGACCGAATGCCCGGTACGTACGTTGTATTTACACCCACCACTTTTTGTCATACAAAAAAATTGCGGATCAGCATTTCAATCAAAGTGTTTGGCAACCCGCTTGCCAAGCGTGGCAACTTTGGCAAATATTCCACCTGTGATGCAATGTATGAAAGTGAACGCAAGTAAGACGAAGGTTATGGTTTTTGAAAGAGAAGAAAGTAAAACGATTTGTGAAATAAGAATAGAAGGGGCGTTGATCGAGCAAGTAGATTAGTTTGTATGTTTGGGCTGCGTATTTAGCAGGGATGGGAGATATGATAAGGATATAGAACGACGAGTGAATGCGGGAAATAGAGTAAATGGGGCCCTGCACTCTATTGTGAAGAGTCAAAATGTGTCAAAAAAAGGCACGTATGGCAATTCACAATGCTGTGTTGGTCCCTACTTTAACGTATGGTAGTGAAAGTTGGGTGTGGCAGAAGAAGCACGAGAGTAGAATGAACGCAGTAGAAATGCGGTCGTTAAGGATAATGTTAGGGCTGAATCTTATTAACAGGGTAAGAAATTGTGTAATAAGAGAAGAGTGTGGTTTGCAAGATGATGTTGTGACCAGGATTAAGAAAGGAATACTTCGGTAGTTTGGTCATGTGGAAAGAATGAATGAGGAAAGAGTGACAAAGAAAATTTATGTTGCAGAAGTGAATGGGAGAGTCGGAAAGGGACGTCCTAGGCGAAAATTTATCGACCAAATTGGCGATTTATTGAAAACGGGCCAAATTAGGAGTACCCTTAACCGACCAGCATGTATGCGGAGGTGTATGTATGTGAAGGAGTCGAGAGAGGTGTGTCAGGATCGTGCCAAATGGAAGTCTGTAGTCTCTGCCTACCCCTCTGGGTGACAGGCGTGATTGTTTATGTTTATGTATATGTTATATGATACAATCTATGAGGAGGCCTATGTGTTCAATAGTGTAATTTAATAAGCTGTAACAATGACGGTATAATTTATTACTGCATAACATTGAATATACATAAAATTATATATTAACATACATGTTTAAATATTACATCTATACACAATAACATTAGAACCTCTGACTTCTAATCTAGAATAATCTATGTAATTCATAAAATACACCTTACACTGGTAGTACAGTTTGCGGTTATGGTTCGGCTGTCGTTTGCACATTCAGTAGCAAACCATTACTGTTGATATCGATATCTGAATACGGTTTTCAATAACGATATGAAAACTAGATATCGGTTATGTAACCGTTGCAGATAAAAACTGAAAACGCCCATGCTTACCAGCTATCTTTTCTAGTGAAATTAGGATCTTTTTAATTTTAAGTCTCAGGAATCATTCTGGTTTGGAATCGTGCGTTATCTATTGCAAGGTGTTTTAGCTGTTCACATAAATAAGTACCGATATAGGTATTTCGTTATTTAAAAAATTTCATCTATAATTTGTCATTTTCACCTTTTTAGGTGGGCATAAAAGCAATATCAGCTGAAGGCAAATCGGCAAAGGAGTTCGAGTTAATATTGAAAAAGAATAATATTTACAATTCAGAGAGTAAAGGTAAGCTCACTTTAATAATACTTTATATTTTGTATTTGACTGTTTGATTTAGTATAACTGAAAAACTTAAAACACTAACCTCTTCAACTATTAAAGAGGTTTCAACACATTGTTGAAGTGATTTTATTCAAGTTTATTCAGATTTTATTCGTGCTCTGCATTCTTCTTACGATGTCATTCCTATGCTTATTGTATATTTGACAGCTAAATAATGAGAACTGCCCTAGAAGTCGCGTCATTGGCTGTTAATTTTAAAATATTTTCTTCAAGCGTATTTTTAACAATATTTTTAATTGCTAAATCAAGTAAAAAGGCAACATTGTAAAGTTATGTACACTGTACGATTGCCTGTATGTGGAAGTGTTATACGGACATAAATTGCACATGGGCTTAAAACACTTCCACTAGTTTAACAAATATCCCTAATCCTTGTATGTATTACATAGAAAAACAAGTGACTGAAGAAGATGGGGTTGGAGGTAGCGGTGAAGAAAAATCTGAAGACCCTGAATCCTGTACTGATGATGAGAAACAGTCTCGACTTAATCATGGTTTGTACTTTACTTTATTTACTTGAAAGATTTTAATATTTATTGATTTTGTTTAAAATTTGAATATTTGACTTGAGGTGTGTCTTTCTATATTAAGGGCTCAGTCTTGTAAAAACTAGTGTTATCGCAAAATTTACAGCAAACAAATACTTTTTATAGTGATTAAAAAAGGAAAAATTGAAACATATTTTACATTTGTTTAAAGTGTAGAATTTGAGATTTTCGAAACAGTTTTTTAATTTTTTTGGTGTTTAAATTAATAACTCTATTAGGCCTTAAACGTGCCTATGTTTAGGTTACATGCGCAAAAGGTCTTATTTAAGCCTTTGGTATGTAAAAATATAACAATATCAAGAAAAGTATTCAGATCACATTCATTCCCATATTGTCGACGGTAATTTAATCTAGTCACTCTTTTAGAAATGCTTTAATTTTCTTATTTGATTGAAGGGCTTAAAAAGTTGTAATTTCATGATTTTTTACTGCAAATACCTATTTTTATTAGAAGTATAAATGTAGCAAAGTCGTACTGAAACCACTTAAAATACATTGATATAAATGACAAGATATGGCCGTGCGAAAAAACTCATGAACTACCACGGAACCAGTCTTTTCACTTACGATTTTTGTTTTACCCTAGAACCTGTACAAGTACTCCCTAAATTATCGTAAAGAAATCAAAATAGCCTTATTTATTGCACCTAATTTTCAATTTGAATATCATTTTACGATTAAAAATCGTGAATTTTGTGATAAAGAAAACATTCTCATTTTCAAATTATAATAACACTTAGTCTCATATGAATAACGAATATGTAACTAAGTAAAAATATAGCATTATTCTATTTATATTATTATAATACTTACTAAAGAATAACTTTTTCATTCTACACTGTTCTACCTCTTTTGAGCCTATCCCCCCTCGATAAATCTTTAAAAAATCAGGGTTACGTCAAGTTCAGTTTTACCCCAAATTATCCAAAACCATGTCAACTTGAAGAAACGCCTAATTCCTTACCTATATTAGTAGATTTATCCCTAAAATAGTGCAAAATATCTAAAAGTGGAAACATTGCACGGACGCATTGGTGGTCGTTTTGGTGCTCCCTAAACATTTTAGCACCAATGAGTCGGTGTATTTTGTTTGTTCAATGTTCCTGTCAGACGCAGTAGTATAATAAGTCTATGATAAAATAGAACTATTTTCAAGTAAATTAAAAATAAATAAAACTAAAAAAAATACGTACTTTTTACCTATATACCATTTATAAACAAAAAGCGCGTGAAAATTCTAATAGTAATAGAAAATTCTATAAGTTGACGGCACGAGTCGTGAGCACAGATGAACTATGGTGGAGGTTGAGCCAGCGTAGGTACACTGTCCGCCAAAATTATTTGGTACCTTTGTTATTTCAATTCGTAATTGAATATTTTCTCTGACTTTTTTTCGAAATTCTGAGTCGTTAACTCCTATAAATATACGCCGTACAGTAGCTACGTATACATTAGTCGCCTCAGCACTATCATATTTTTCGCAATACCTTTCATGTAACAAAACCCTGAATAGACCATTTGTCGGGATTGTCTATTTAACACCGTAATTCTTCCTTCTCTGCATATTTAGACCAAAATCTGAATGCTCAAATTATAACAAAAAAAATAATTAACAACAAGAAATATCAAAAACAGTTAAAAACAAGAAATACACAAACAACAATTAACAACGAGGTAACACTACAATTAACAAAAAAAAAAAAACTAATTAAAAAGTTGTCACTAAAATTGCTCTCAAGTGTACGATAGTCGAATGATACGTGCGAACCCAATGATGATGAGAATCAGCTGACGAACCAATCACGTTGAGCGTCAGCGTTTTCAACGTCATATCATCGATCAATAAAAGGTGTGCTCACGACTCGTGCCGGCAATTGTATGCTGTGTTGCTCAACGTTACTTTACCTCTCGCTCGCATGGTTGATCTCTTTCCTTCGCGCAGCTCTTATGGACTGAGCGCAGCATATCGTGAAAGTTGCTCTATATATATATATATATATATATATATATATATATATATATATATATATATATATTATTTTTATTTAATTGTACATATTAGTTCTAGTTTTTAGTGTATTATTGTTTATATTAGTATTAGTGTATTTGACTTTGATTTTTATATTTGGTGAATTTCAATTTATTACTGAAAGAAATAAACGGTAAAAGATGAATAGAAAAAGAAGAAATATCCTTGTGTCAGTAAAAAGAAATCTAAGTCAAGAGTTGGAGTGATGAAAAGAAACAGACTAAGCAGGTATGTTGAATACTACCTAGGTATAGGTAAATAATATTGATATAAGTATAATAAGTATATTTTGAGATATTATTTATTGTATTATTTATACATATATTAAAACAGTAACTGGACTGATTCTGTATATTATATATATTTATTGAGAATTCTTATTTTGTTGATCACTATCGACATTGATGACGAATCATTGATTAGAAAATCTCTTGTCTATTTGTACGTATGTGCACGCATCACGTAAAAACTACTGGACCGATTCTCTTGAAATTTCGCACGCAGCTTTCTTAAGGGCCATGTCAACATCTAGGGTAATTAATAAACATTAATTTATACCGGAAAATGCAACGTTCGTCTCTATTATAATAGAATTCATTAAAATAATATTATTTTTATTTTGTTTGAATTGTCAGTAATTTATTTACGTGACCTTTATTCTTTTCAATAATGTCAGCGTCACACGTCTAGTGATCGTCAACCGATGTCAAATATTAGCAAGCCCCCCAGTAAATGATAATATGCCTGGTAAAATTTTCTGTTGTTACCTTTTTTGATTAAAATATATACGCTATACATATAATACTTTTCGTTTTAGTGATCAAGAGAACAAACCTCAATGTTATTCGAAAAGTATTTTAATACCAACTAATGGTTCAAAGGAAACAAAAGAACAAGATGCAGCCAATAAACCCTCAAAATTAAAACTATATATATATATATATATACATATATATATATATATATATATATATAAAAACTTGTTCATTTTAGAGCCAGCCATCTGCACGTAAAAAGGGTGATGGGTGATGAGTTCGATTTCGATGTAGAACTTGAAGACATGTGTAATAACAAAGAGGATTTTGATTTAGTGGGGCGTAGATTTGTCTTTATTAGATACTTCTTTCTTTCTCTGCAAGCAGTTGCTGATCAGTTATGAATTATTGGGATGAAGATTTTCAAATTTAAAATGCATCGGTGAGACCATAAAAGGATTTATTCCAACGTTGTGCTTGAAATTCCAATTATGTAACGCAGAATTTAATATAAGCACTGACTGACCGATGCTAATTACGGCGTTAATCATGGTATTATCGCGGGCACGATCAGTATTGGTTGTGGTCTCGAAAATTTGAACGACTTAGGGGCAAACACTGATATACCCGCTGTCAAAACAATTGTACAATAAAACAAGCCAAGTTGTTTATGACTGGTTTCAAAAAAGGGCAGAATAAGAAATGTCGGAGGCAGGAAAAGAGAAAGCAAAACACGCTAAAGAAATTAAATGCGTTGACAGTGGTGGAAATACCATGATAACGGTAATTGCTGATGGCTGCTGGTCAAAAAGATCATTTCGCAATAATTATGTTGCTTCTTCTGGTGCAGCGGCAATTTGGCCAATATGGCGCATCTGTCGAGCACTTCCCGAAGTACTTCCAGACTACTTCCTGTTGTTCATTAAAATGACTATTTCCAAAACATTTTGTATAAAAGGTATATTAAAATCATTTCAAATTAGTATCACTTGCGAAGTAAACCTGTATTCAAGTTATACATAATCTGATAGTTTTTAATAAAGTTTCCCATGGAAACATGGAAAATGAAAGTAAGAAAAGTGTTTTTTCCCCAATTTTCTGCAAAGGTGTAATAATTATAAATTAAAGCCTTTATTCCAAGTACTATTAGTTTTACTTGTACGTCCAAATCATATTTAATTGGTAAAAAAATTTTTTTTTCATAATTTTTTTGTTTACGACAAGGTCAAGAAAGGCCTCACTTAGATCTACTCGACATCGGGACAAAAAATAAGGAGGTTCACAAAAAAAAAACAAAAAAAACACTATTAAATCAAATTTAGACAAAATCAATCATGCAGATATATATATATATATATATATATATATATATATATATATATATATATATATATATGTTATATATATATATATATGTTATATATATTATATATATTATATATAGGTATGTTACAAATAGTTTGCTATTACTCGACGCCATATTATGTTGTTTGACAGATGCGCTTATTATTTGAGACGCCAGAATATGGCGTTTGGACAGACGAGGGGTTCGGAATCTAAAATAAATAATGTATAATATGTGCTCGTGCAGCTAATAATAAAACCGAGCCCAATGAACATACATGCTAAAAAATTGTGTAGTAATCCCTACAAAAATGTAAAAGTTGATAAGATCGAATGTAGAAATCACCTATTAAGAAATTTATTTACTAAATTGCGCCTTTTTATAAAAGTCACTCAAACCCCCCTTCAACAAAAAACATTGTACGTGCAATAAAGTTAAGAAAACATGCAGAAGATTTTCAAAACGTAAAGATATCTAATCTAAACGCAGATATTTACAGTGCTTTACACCACGCCTTAGGAAACCATACTAACTGTATAGATCAGATATGTTCTGCAATTGACAAACTTGATATAGACGTGGCTATGAGCACTTAACCCTATAGAGACGTAATACAAGGCGACCCGAACCTGTCAACTCGTCAATGACTAAGTTTTGTTTTATAGTCACTGATATATTTCGGAACACTTTTGTTTCCCGCCAGTTGCGACCAACAATTAGAACCGAAGAGACGGCTTACATTGAAAATATAAATTAAAATCAATTTACGGCATCATGTCTTGTTGTGCCGTTAAATGGTGCGGAAACAACAGTAAAA